CTTTGAATTATATCAAATCTGACACCAGAAACAGACTAACAGATGACCTGAGTGCTGCATGTGTTGCTCTCAAACTTACAAAGTATGAGCCAAGGTTAGACAAATTATCAGCATGCATACAACAGCAAAAATCACATTAATTGTTCAAAAGCATGCCAAATGCAAACTTTTACCTTTCAATAAAAAGTTGTTTGTATCATTGAAAGCTCAGTTATTGTTTTTCTTTTAAGACAAAAGATGTTAATGTATGAGTTATTTTTTCTAAACTAAAACCTCACTATTTAGGTTAAATTGCCGTGTTGGCACTTTGCGATAAATAAGTGGGTTTTGGGTTGCAGTTTGGGCACTCGGTCTCTAAAAGGTTTGCCATCACTGGCCTAGTGTGATAACAGGACATTCCTCTTAGCATCAGCAGACAACTGAGCCCTACTGAAATACTTTAGGAAATGTGAAGGGAGCCAATCATACTACCACATTACATTCTTTTTCTTTTGTTCCTTCAAGCTCAGGATAGTATGCATCGGACTCTCTCATTTTTTAAATCCACACAGCTGTGTGAGGTTGCTGGACTCAGAGATGGTAACTTGTCCAAGGACACCCAGTGATATCTGTGCAGAACACAGTCCATGTCCAAGGCTATCCACTACACTCACTATTTTGTAATGGTGCTGCAATCTGATAATTCAGTCCATGTCCAAGGCTATCCACTACACCCACTGATAACTTGAGGCCAATAAAATTACATTCCTGTTAGCACTCCTGACTCACTTAATGGTGTCATTACCCCCAACTTCTCTATGCACTAGGCACTAACTTGTTGCTACACAAACGACTGGGGCTTTTTAAAGGATAATACAACCTCATTTTCTTTAAAGTGTGTGTCTGTGTGTACACTCCTCCCACTGAACCAGAGCTAAAGGACTGAAAGAAAAAATACCAAGAGCCATAATGTTTACTTGAAAATAGAAGTAGCTCCTTGTTTTATTACAAGGCTTCAAAAGAAGAATGCATAAACACTACATTTGTAGGAACAGATACGGTTAAAATGTATTTTAGTCCTTGCCCCACAAAGCATCTTGTCTTCCCACCCTTCCTCTCTTCTTCAGCATCTGGCAGGGCAACTGTGGTCAAAGGAAGGAAACTGACAGAAGTGTAAACAGCTGCCTTCATACTGAAGCCAAGTTAGCAATGCTGCAAAAATGAACGCGAGCAAACAGCATTAGACAAGACCACCACCTGCTGGCTGAACCGAGAAGGAATATTAGCTTTACATATCAAACATACAAGGCTAAACCAATGAATCACAAGTAATTCTTAAGGTCCTCCTCCATCTAGTGAAGGTTTGCACAACTTGTGCCCCCCTCCCCAAGCTGAATGCCACCCACCAGTCATATATAAGGTGACCTATCCGATGCTCGATAACACCCCCCCACACACAATTCTTCAGTTCCTGGGAGACAAAGACAGAAGGCTTATTAAGTCTCTGGAAGGCTGCAATCACAAGATATGTACGTCTGCTCCATATGCTGGCATTATATAGTTGAGGTTATGCTGGACTGCTTCATCAGGTTGCACACAGGTCCTCTCTCTAAACAAGTGCTGATCTAGAAAAGCAAAGAATGGAGATAAAAACCTTCACTGTTCTCAAGAATGTTCAGAATCTAAAATATTTCAGCTTTGAGTTTAGAGTTTTTTGTTCTCATGATTGCCAAGGGAAGCTCGAGAACACACAAGTCACTGCTAAATCCACAATCCACTTTGAAGCAGTCTGACTGACTTGAGTAACTGGGTTATGGAAAGTGTAGGTTGGGTATTTGTAGCTTATCCAGTAGTCAGAAAGTAAAGCACCATCAAGCGAGCATCAGTCCCACACCAGGCTATGTTTTCCTTATCCTACATATGAATTATTTTTATTCATTTTCCTTCTCGCTCTCACACACTCTGCAAGCTTACAAAACTGTAGAATTAGAAAACTCCCAACCAACCCCTGAAGTTCCTAGGCATGCCCCCAGCTGCGCTGCTATCGTAGGGATAACGTTGCAAAGGAAAAATGGAGAGTTCTTTATAAAGTGACACGTCTATAAAATACAAATGTTAGTTTCTTACAGTACAACTTCTATGGAGAGTTCTTGGCTCCCATGAGAAGAATCATAAAGACTGAGCATTGTACAGAGAGAGAAAATGGGGTCACCCTCTTTTTTGCCTTTACAGTGTGGATAATAACAAAGACCCTCTAAAGATATCTTTGAAGCCCACTGTATAGTTTAATAATCAATTTTCTTTCAGAGTCTGTGCTTCTTAAAAATAGAAAATTACAGGAAATAGAAAAGGGCAGAAAGTATTCATAGGGCTTCAGCCTTAGTTTCTGAGTTGTATCAGTTCTTAGTTCTTGTGGTCTTTTCTTGCACACCCAGAGAAATGCTGATTGCCACTTTGGCTCAGGAAGCAATTTTCCTTCAGTCCGGTTTGGCCAGGAATCCTGGAAGGGTTTGGTTTGGGGTTTTTTTTGCCATCGTCTGGGCATGGAGCAAGGGTCACTGGGGTGGGGTGGGGGAGGTATTTGTGAATTTCCTGCATTGCGCAGGGGGTTGGACTAGATGACCCTGGAGGTCCTTTCCAACTCTATGATTCTACAGGATTCAATGATTCATCTTCAAGCATCAGCACTCCTCTCTGCATTGAGATAGTCACCAGTTGTGCTGCATGGGAAGAAGCCCCAAGGTGCCCAGGAGTGACCTACAAAACCCCCTGGGGTGTCACCATCTTTAGAACTGTTTGTTAAAGGCTATGGGAGTTAGCCAGTCCCTCTAGATATAATAATATACTTTATTGTCATTGTACATAGTACAACAAAATTAAAAGTGCAATCATTTCAGTGATCTACAGCCATACTCATATACACTCACACAACCATTCACAACCATCCCATAACTCCCTTAAGGTTCACATTGCAACTTAAACCACCAATGTCACCCAAATTCCAATTTCATACAGCATTTAAAGCAATAATAGCTCTCGAATAAAAACTGTTTTTAATCTGTTTGTCCTTGTTTTAATTGTCCTATATCTTCTACCCGAAGGCAGCAATTCAAACAGGGAGTGTTCAGGGTGTGACAAATCCTGCAGTGTGTATGTTGTAGTGTGTATGTGTGTGGGGGAGTATCTGGAGATCTCTTTGGAAAGCAATTAGGGCAGCTCATATTTATTTTTTTAAAAACATCCCACTTTTCTCCAACACAGCAGCTTACGCACGATGTTTCAAGTCAAAACAACTCTACTATGTAGGGCTGAATTAGACTCCAAAGCCTAAATCTGAAACTGCACCCTGTTGGTTGGAAAGGCTGAGGTCTTGAAGGACATTGTGCTTCCCATTTTTGACAGTGTCCAGCTGACACTCGCTGACGGGCTATGTTGGAGCCAGCATTATTACTGGAGCAACAAGCGGAAGCAGCTGCTTCCATTTTCCATTTTGAGCCTGGAAGATTGCCCCTTCCTGGTCTCAGCTGAACTGGATCGATGCTGTGGTTGCATCTAGGCTAGAGAAAAGCAGTGCACTCTACATGGGTCAGCCCTTGAAACTGCAGTTGGTATAGAATGCCACAGCCCAATTGATATTGGGTGCCAGGCAGAGCATTAATGTCACACCCACCATGCAGTCATTCCACTGGGTTCCATTCAAGGTACCGGCTATCATCTACAAAGCCCTTAATAGCTTTGGACACATGTGCCTGCAAGGCCACCTGTTCTGCTCTGCTCTGCTCACTTCACTCATGCGAGTAAAGCCTTCTGGAGGTGCCACCCTGCAAATAGGTAAGATCAACAACTGCCCGTTCACATGAATTCTCTGTTGTGGCCCTCACCTTGTGGAACAACTTTCCTGAGGAGGGCAGAAAGGCCCCCATCCTACTACCATTTTGCAGAATGTGAAAAACAGAGGTGTTCAGGAGGGCACTCTTATCATGGGATGAGAACTGTAGTATAATGGAAGAGCTCCATAGGTCAATCTATAAGGGATAAGACTGCAGCTTATTGCAATGTTTGTATCACCTTCCTTTTTACTGCACTCTCCTTTACCTTTGCAATCCACTTTCCGCATTATGGTATATCTTAGAGACTTTTTACTGCCTCAGAGAGCTTTCTGTTTGCATTGCTTTTGGTAAACCCAGTCCTACTGCACTGTCTACTGGAGGTCTGTGCTATTCATCTGAATAGATTGTTGTATTTTATAGTCTACCTTGAGTCGCTGAGAGAAAGGCAGACTATAAATGAAGTCAATGAAATAATCAGTAATCACGATTCCGTGTGCAAGAAGAATCAAATGGCTTTCGGGAACACATCCAATGGAGCAGGAGCTCAGGTGGGGTGTCCCAACCACAGAAGCTGCTCTTTGATTACGGCCATTGCCGTTTCACAGCCCAAATACTAAAAAAACAAAACAAAACAAAAAAACTTGACTCTGGAGTTTGGAACTAAAACCAAGGCCGTGTGTACGCTGAACTTCTTATCAAACACAGACATTGTTTTTTGGAGCAGAGTTCACTACCCCTGAATCTTTGTGCAAGCTAGATCATTCAAAGAAAGTTTGTAGCTCATGAAAAGAAACATGGGGTCTTATGGCACAATATTACTTCTGGCTGAAGCTTTTGTGCAACGACAAGCGGATCCTCACTTCACGTTCATTTTATGCAGGAGGTCTGAAGAAAACAAATAGCAGGCTCAGGGGGTCATGAAGAGCAGTCCAGAAGATTTAATTATGCAAAATCCAAATCTAGTCTGGAAGAAACAGAGAACTCCTCATTCACTAGTTACGCTGGTTAACACCTCTGTAGGATAGTTCTCTCACTATAGCTGTGGCTAAGTCCTGATCCAACTGGGCTGGGTGTGTGTGTGTGTGTGTGCAAAGTAAAAGCCCTTGAAAGTGTCTGAGCAATGCATGGTAAGTGCAACAGAGAAGTTGCAGGTGAGGGGGTAGTGCTGAGAAGGGGTAAGGGGGTAGGGCTCCAGCACCTTGCAAGGTCCCTTTCCTCAAGACTAACAATAGCTGAACAAAGTTTGATAAATAAGCAAACATATGCAATTATATTTATTCACACGCATATGTTTGAAAACCCCATTTTTCTTGGTGCAGGATCTGAGTTATTTTAGCATGACGTTTATACAGTAGAACAAAGTCTGACTCCGGTGGCACCTTTAAGACCAACAAAGTTCTATTCAAGGTATAAGTTTTCCTGTGCACACACACTTCTGCACACAAAAGTGTCAACCTTGAATAAAACTTTGTGGGTCTTAAAGGGTGCCACTGGACTCATAAACTTTGTTCTGCTGCTTCACACACAACACAGCCACTCACCTGAATCTATTTTTCACAGTAGTACAAGCCTATGCTCCACTAACTGTGCAGTCTATGTTTCTGAACAATACAAAACATTTAAATAGATAGTTTTTAAAATTAGCAAGGCTACTTTCTTCAGTGCCGCCTCTCACTTCCTGCTAGTCTCCAGCTGACCCCCATTCATTTCATAACGTGGATTATGTCTCCATAGCACACAAGAAGTAGAATACAGGCTATTCTCCTCAGCACAATCCTATCAATCTGTCCACCAAGGAACGCAAGGCAGCATCCATGGTTCCCCCTTCCATTTTATCTCCACACCATTCTGAAAGGTAAACCATACTGAGAGAGAATGAATCCAAGGTCACCCAGTGAGTTTAATGGCTACATATGGAATTGAACAGTGATTGGTGTGAACCCATACTCAGCTAAACCATTGGTCTAGCAAAGTTGTCATGACCACAATACATGGTTTCACAGTTCCCTGTGGTATAGCCCAAGCCTCTGATTTCTACCTGAGAGGCAGCTTTCTGGGCCCCCACCCTGGCCCCCAAATCAACTTCTGCATCCCAGCAGGGACGCAGGAGAACCTTCCCAAGTGCTGGGGTGTAATCTGAGGAATTTAGATTTAAGGAAGACAAAGAAACTAAGGCTGCAGCCCTATGAATACTTACCTGGGAGCAGAACCCATTGAATAAAACATGATTTACTTCTGAGTAAACACGCAGAAGCAGAAAGAAGAGATTGGATTTATACCCCGCCCTTCTCTTGGAGTCTCAGAGCGGCTTACAAACTCCTTTCCCTCCCCCTCCCCACAACAGACACCCTGTGAGGTAAGTGGGGCTGAGAGAGCTCTCTCAAGAAATGCTCGTGAGAGAACAGCTCTGAGAGAACTATGGCTTGCCCAAGGTCATCCAGCAGCTGCATGTGGAGGAGTGGGGAATCAGACCCGGTTCTCCCAGATTAGAGTCTGCTCACTTAAACACTACACCAACCTGTACAGGATTGCATTGCAGGAGTTTTTTGGTGAAAGCTGCCTTCTCCCAAACCTCACTACTAGGAGAGGGCGGGGGATACTATGGAAGGCATGCTAGCTGATTCCCTCAATGTTGCCTCAGGAGTGGGAGGGAGACCCTCGGTCCAGTCTTTTCTTCTCAGAGGTAGTGGCTGGGCTGCACACTGGCAAGAGAAGTCAGGAGACGAAGAGATGGCTAGCTCACCAGA